CTACTAGTCGTTCAAAACTTTATCTAAATCCTCTCCACAGACACCTCGAAAACGTCAAGAAGCGGCCGTCATTTTGTTAACAACCGCACACTGCTAGGCTACCCACTATCTATCACAGAATAGATGGTGAGTAGCGTAGCCGATCAGAGGAGGGCATTCGTGATAATACGCTAGTAGATTTACTTATACTAAAACCTCGAAGAAAGCGTTGAAATAATAGAAGAGGTGAGTTTAAAGGGCAGGAAAGATATCAAATATCTGACAGTACGTTATCTTTGGACCGCAAACATTTCATAAAAAAACTTACCTTAATCTCTAAGAAGCTTATTGATAAAAGAGATGCTGAATATCACGCAGTAGAAATATTGTGCAACTCAACTAGAAATCTAGCCTTTTCCAAGGGTTCAGTCAGAGTTGGAGCGCAGCGCGAAACGTATTGCGCCCCAACTAACTGAACGCCTGGAGGAGGCTACTAGAAATCGGACTATAAAATCTGTATATTACGTATTTAAAATTGTCAAGCCGGCTGACAATATATCTATGAATTTCTTTCTGAGCGTTTTGGCCGTGACTGAACGAGGCTACCTGACATTAGTGTGAATAACTGAATGCTTGAAACATTTGAAACACAGGTAATAGCGGTGCCGCGTTACGGAATAGCCTTCCAACTGATATTAGAGTATCCAAAACATTAGGTGAATTTAAGACGAAGCTAAGTAACTTCAGTTTTGTGTGAATCAGCGACACGGCGTCCCTGTAAAGCAGTACTTTTGTTTTTATTTATTTCTTTTAAAAATAGTTAGTTAGCTCAGTTTGTTTAGATTAGGTCAGTTTGTTTAGATTAGGCTTTTATTCTTTGTAATTACTTTTATAATGATTATTTTGTTTAATTTTTACATTTGTAGATATTTTTGCTTGTATACAACTGAGTGGAACTTACCGTGTATAAATTAAGTGATCTATCTATCAGGTAAAGCCTTCCAACTTACTTTACTTCCGGGTTTACTGAAAAAAAGAAAAAAAAACCTTGGAGAAAATCCTTTTCCTCAAGGCTTTACTGCTTTTAACTGTACACGTAAATCTTCGAAACTAAATTGTGTTTAAATAAACAGAAGAAGCGAATTGCATAACAATTAGTGAAAAAATTTGGTTCTGCGACAAGAGAATTTCCTAGAACTAGAGGTTAGGCAGCTGAAAATGCTGCTGAAAATGCTGCTTTTATAGTGATGGCGTGACCCAATGACAGTCACGCAAACTTCCCAGGTCTTGGCCGAAATGTAACCCGGGATAACTTCGTTTCAAGATGGCGGCGAATTTGAAGTTACGAAGTCAGGAAACAAGTCGAAGACGTTTCAGCCATGATGCTAGCTGCAGTCACTGTAACATACCTTTTCCTGACTTACCAACAAGTATGAGATATGGAGTTATTGCTTTCACGTCGATAGCGTGTTATCTGAATACCCTGGAGTACGATTTAGTTCACGATGATGTGTTTGCGATCAAGGATAACACGGACATACGATCAGAGAACCCACTGTTTAATATACTGTCTAATGACTTCTGGGGCAGGCCAATGTCGAGCAACAGAAGTCACAAGTCTTACAGACCGCTCTGCACACTAACCTTTCGAATGAACTACGCGATTCACGGGTTAAATCCATTTGGATATCATGCAGTGAATGTTGTTTTGCATGGAGTGGTTTGCTTGCTGTACATGTTTATGTGCGAGACGGTCGCCTTCAAATCAAATGTGCTTGCATTTCTCGCAGGACTTTTATTTGCTTCACATCCTGTCCACACAGAAGCTGTGAGTAGAATCAAGTAAAGGGCCATTCCATTTTTTATCCTCGCCCCCCCCCCCCCTTGTCTATTGAGGGTCACGGAAATCTGAATGGGAGGGGGTAGCCGTTTCTGATGGGGTAACTGTGTCGGTGCCTTTGATCTTTTTTCAATTCAGAAAGGGGGAACTGTGTCGGCACTTTGATCTTCCTTTCTTTGCGGGGGAAATTTACTTTTCTGAGGAAAGAAATTCAAAGGTNGGGGGGGGGGTTGTGTTAGCGCTTTGATCTTCCTTTCTTGGGGGTAGAAAGTTTACTTTTCCTTTTGGCTAAAATTCAAAGTCTTCTATCATGGCAGAGGGGAGGGGGCGGGGGTGCAGATATTTAATGGAATGGCCCAATATGTGCTTTTATTTTAAAGTTTTTGGACCTGTCCATCCAGGATGCAGTATATAGAGAGTTTTCACTCATGTGGCCAACATCCATGCAAATTTATCAGACCAAAAGAAACTGTTTACGTAAGAAAAGAGTCAAACTCCCACAGGACTGGTTTAGGACACCAACATGGCTGCCATTTCATTGCTTAAGGATACCAGTATGGCTGCCATGACGTCATGTGGAAACACTACATATATCCCGTCATTCAGATAGGGCATTCCATTTGATGTCCACCAAACCAGCTCCCCCCTCTCCCACCACGTCCTGTGATTTTTAAGGGGGTTTGCTCCATCATCGCATCGTTGATATTTTGAATATTTCTACAAGGACTGGGAGAAAGTTGACATTTTCTAAAGAGGGTAACAAAACACCATGTTTGATGGGATGGGAGAGGGGACATGACTTTGACTTTTAATCCTTTCATGAAAGGGGTTAATTTTGACTTAGAGTGTACCTCATCTGCAGGGAGTAGGTAAACTCCCACACAGGTTCCTCCCCACGGGTTCCTTCCACCAAACTATGTCGGGAAGAATCTTGTGAAAATACATACTGCAAGGCTCTAAGATTGTATGAAATATAAATTATCAACATCACGCTTTATTCAAAGCTGTTATCTTCTCAGGTGACAGGAGTTGTAGGACGTGCTGATGTAGTAGCATGCTTTCTGTTCCTACTTTCTTTCCTGGCATTTGTGAGGTAAATCATATTTCCTCTACATGCATATCTCTTCCAGCAGTAGATCCAGGGGAGGGGATGAGGGTGTTACACCCCCCCCCTCCCACTTTGAACAGCCTTTTTGCTATTTGTTTGATGACACATCATAAAGATAATAGAATAGAATTGTTTTATACAAAGCTGTGTCACTTACAACAATTGACTGATTGTCAAGTAAGGAAAAGATAATGTGCATTTCATAATTGCATTATTATTTTTGATTTTCTGGTGAACAAGAGGGAAACTCCAGATTCTATAATCATGCCACAAACATATGTCAAGTTTCAGGAATGCTGGAAATGGTGTTTTAAAGGATAATATTGGAAGCATCTTCCGAGGGGGGGAGGGGGGAAGGCATGGCCCCCTTAGACCCCCTAGTAGCCCACTCTTGTAGTGTGTACTATCCATGCTGATGGCATTGAAAGTTACATGTGTCAGCCAAGGGTGTAATCCCCTTCTTTCAGGAATTCCTGGATTTGTCCCTGTCTTCTTCCAATATTCAAGTCTTCTTGTTACATTACTAAACACAATTGCAATTTACAGAGATTAAATATAATTTTTCACTGCAATTGCAGGTCAACAGGAAACAAAGGCTGTACGTTTTTTCTGTACACAGTACTTTCTGTGATCTTCGGCTCCATGGCAATGCTTGTTAAAGAGCATGGCATTACCGTCTTTGGTGTTTGTATTGTCTATGATTGTTTAGTTATCAACAAGAGGTTTCTTTGGAGGTAAGGAATATACTTTCATAATCTTTTGACTAATGCGGGTTTCATTGGACTGTGTAAACAAAAGATCAACTAAATCTCAGACGCATGAGATTCCCAAAGAGCAATCATGTTAAACCACATTGAAGCAATTATTATTTTTTTTTTTTATTACAGATGATCCTATGCTTGTTAAATAAAGCTAACTTGAAAGCTTTGCTCCTGGAGGTGGGGGTGGGGGTAGGGGGAGAGTCCCATATAAGAAGGACCGGGGTGCTCGTTAGAAATTTTGAAAACAACCCCTAAGAGGTACCAAGATCCTGTTTTGTGGGCGTGGCTTGAAACTTTTTGCACCCCTAAGAGGTAACAACTTTATTCTAAATCCACACCATATCCTGTCATCCTGTCATCTCCTGTCATTTGCTTTGGCTCAATACCCTAAAAGGTACCACAAAAGCTTTGGCTAAAAGGCACTTTGAGCACCCCTATCCTTTTTATATGGGAGTCCCCCCTGTGAGTTGGGGGGGGGTTCACTTTGCTACTTTAACTGCTGCACACTTATTCATATTTAATATATTTTTCAGTTGTATACTGTGTTTATTGCTTGTTGTATTTGTTTTATGTTATTACGAGATTAAAGGAGAAAGCAATTACAATAAATATAAAGCAATCTACATCATTGCCCAATGTAGTAACTTCCTTTATGGTAACTGCCAACTTTACAAATCCCCTCTGATTACAACATCTAACTTTGTTAAGACTATTAAGCTGATTTCCACAGAGCATTCAAGCAATAATGGCAAAAATTAAGTTACCAAATAAACCTCATGGCATGACAACATTTTGAATACAGTTAAGAAGAACTTATTGAGGCTAAAGCTCTCAAGCTGACCCCGCGAGAGAAAATTGAAGTTGAAGTTATCCATATTTCAATTAACACAGACGTTTCGCACTAGTTGAAAACACAATAACACACGCTTTAAGCATTCTTACGAGGTTTGACATTGACTTTCTTGAAAATTTAATTGCGGGGTCACTTAGAGAAATGAACTGGGGTGAGTTGTTTTAAATAGTACTCCAAAAGTTACCGTGCTGTGAGTAGATTTTTAGTAAATAATTTTTGCACTTATTGCTCGAACTTTGAGCAGAATCCGTCATAGTCCTTTTCCCTTGTTGTTATTGCTTTGCAGGTTCATAAAGGAAAGGAAATTGCATGATGTCGAATTTTTTAAGCCCCTTTTGATCAGACTAGTTGTTTTTACTATATCAGTAAGTATTCTTTTATAGTTACAGACTTATGATAATCTATGATGACCTTAACTCAATGGTTTCTTGGACATTGTAATCATTATTCGAGTCGGTGCTTCATTATATCCATGCCAGAGTGTTTGTAACCTGAGGGCTCTCAAGAGCCTAATGAATATTGTTCTAACAACCTTCTTTGTTTGTATATTTTTTGCCATTTTATAAATATATTTACAAACCATCAATCCAAGGAAGCCCAGCGAAGCCAAAAAGGTTTACGTTATGGACTAGCATAAAGTCTTAAAGATACCTATGACTTAATAGAAGAATAAAAATGCTGTCATGTGCACACAAAATGATCATAATTTAAGATAAAGTTTAGTTAAGCAAAGCTAAATGCGCAAAAGCAAAGGAAGACAAAAAGAAAAAAAGCACACAAACACACTACGATAAGAAAAACGTACTTAAACCAAGAAAGATGACTTAAGTTTAGACGTGGACGTAGTAATACTAGAGGAATTTCAGTGCTGAGAGAGTTAAGTACTTGTAACTATCTTTGTTACAGGTTCTCCTGCTGATGGTCTTCAGAGTGTGGATGCTTGGTGGTAATCTTCCTTATTTCACAGCCCAGGATAATCCTGCTTCATTCTCAGACTCACTCGCTACTCGCATCATGACATATTGGTATCTACTTGTCTTCAACTCCTGGCTTCTGCTATCGCCAAGTGTGTTGAGCTATGATTGGCAGATGGGTAGTATACCTCTAGTGGAGTCTCTGCTGGATTACCGCAACTTAGCAACAGCAATGTTTGTCATAGTGGCAGCACTGCTGGCTTACACTGCTTTGTTATCCAACAAAATAAATGTGAGTGTAGGAAAATGATAGAACGGGCTCCAGAATTGGGCAAAGAGGGTTGGGGAAGGGAACCAGGAGCTTTCTGGGGAGGGAAAAATGCCTCGCTTTGCTGACTGGAAGGTATAACTCTAAGTTTATTAAAATGATAGTATCAAGTAAGATGTGGCATGGGTGCCACAAATTGAAATATTACGATTGCTACTTGTGACATCATGTTATTATTGGCAGTTTGAAAGTACAGTGCAGAAAAAAAAGGCATATTGAAATTCAGGCAACCTAATACTATTCAATGTAAACTAAGCCCTTGCAAGGAAGAAAGAAAATTACCATCTTATTTGCAAATTGATGAAGCCTAACCAAATATACTCGCAAAAGCGCCACTGATCTTATTTTGTTTCAACGTTTGATTCGGCGCCTGTTAGAGGGTGGCGCTTTTTCGAGGGACGCGCTTTAGGGGTGGCGCTTTTCAACAACTCATTCAATTTTCTTCTCTTATTAATATCCGACAAAACAGATCTCTTTTTGTATCCAAAAAGCGATGGCAACGTCCTCCATAGCTCTAAAACGCCAATGTCTGTCTTCCTTTCTTTATTATTAAAGTTTAAAGAAGCTACGTATGTAGGCACGTAAATCCAGTGTTTCAATAAGCGCCACGTCCAGTTGAGGGTAGCGCTGCCCAGGGTGTACTCCCATATAAATAAAGAACAGGGGTGCTTCGTCGCACCTCTTAGTGTGTTCAGCCTCAAAATTGTCCACAGCGGGAGTTTTCGCGGTACAGAAAAAGGTCAGTGTCAGTTGATGTGTTGTTTGAGAATTGGTACCTCTAAGGGGTGAAAAAAATTCAAAGCCACGCCCACAAAACAGGATCTTGGTACCTTTTAGGAGTTCTTTTCAAAATTTCCAACAAGCGCCTCCATCCGTTTTATATGGGAGTAATCCCCTGGGTAGCGCTGTTTCGAGAAAATGCGTTTTGTGCCCTATACAGCTCTAGGAAAATGTGTGCGTGATAGTGCGTTTTGTGTGCGGCAAATTAATTTGACCACAGCTACTTTTGTTAGCGTGTATCGATTGTGACAAAGGAAATTCCTTGTTTTCCATTTTTGTCTTGTAGCCCAATGAACAGGATGTTCTTGTGTTATCCCTGGCTTTGCTGTGTATTCCTTTCCTCCCGGCTTCCAACTTGTTTTTCAGAGTCGGATTCGTTGTTGCCGAAAGAATTCTGTACATACCAAGGTAAGCGAGAGCCAGGCCTCCTCGCGAAAAGGACAACAGAAATACAGTTGACTCCCTATAACTTAACCTTCATGGGGAATCCAGAAAGGCTCGAGTTATCGGCAGCTCATAACACAGGGAAATGAGTACAAAAAAGCGGAAATTAGAGAATGAAACGGTATGCGTTTCAATCAGGTTTATTACAAAGAAAGAGTAAAACTGGATAGGAACGGTACAAGCAAATTCTAACAGATTTGAAGGGAATAGAACAAAATAAAACAAAATGGCAGAATACTATAATGGGTTCTGTACTGCAACACATGAAATGTAATTGCAACGAATTAATTTTCTTAATTTAGAAATTGACAAATGAGTTTTGGAGTTTTTGAGGGTAGATTAATAAATAAAACTGATGACCTGTAGGGATAAAAAAAATCACTTTGAGTTGTCGAAGTTACGAGCTACGGAGCGGCGGGTAAAATTGCAGTAAATGTGAGAAGCAAATCGAGCAAACCAATATCGTTTCAAGTTACCAGGGGTTCGAGTTATCGGGAATCAACTGCATTCGGGTTTACATTGTAGCCCTTTACTTCAAAGTAAGATCAGTTTTATATACTGAGAATTAAACAATGCCATATACAGGACGATTGCGAATAAAGAAACAATGCTAACAAATTAATGAACTGTACTCGTCTTACAGATATCCTGCTCATTTCTTGCAGTTTGAATTCAAGTCAAGACGTAATTGCCTCATCCCACCTACCCCCCTATCCACCCCACACCCTCCATTCTTTGAGGCGTTGTAAGTGAGGAGGAGACAAAAAATATCCACACCGTATAATACTTTCATTGATTCGATGGGTTGTTTTGCTTGAGTTAACTTTCTTCTCTCCTTTATTTGTAGTATGGGATTCTGTATGCTTGTTGTTTGTGGACTCAACAAACTGGCTTCAGTTGTGCGATATAACAGAAAAGCATTGAACAAAGACACAAGTGGACAAAGTGACAACAGAATTGGAACAAAAGGATCTTTCAAGTCCTCATCCATTGTGACTTCATATATGCTGCACAAGGTTTTACTGTCAGGCATTTTCGTACTGATAGGACTATTTTGCTGGAAAGACGTGGTTCGAAACCGCGTGTGGAGCAGCAGAGAGACATTATTCAGGTAAACATAACAATTGAGTCTTTTTTAACATTTATTTTGTACAAACTGTCAGGGGTTTCCATCATTTCTTGGTAAGAAGAGGCAGCGTGGCGGAGTGGTAAGGACGCCGGACTTGAAAACTGGAGGTCGCGAGTTCAAGTCCCGCTCTGACCACTAAGCTGGAGTTGTTTCTCAGTGGACCCTCTTTCAACTCCTTAGTTATACCTGTTAATAGCCAACTGGTCTGCCTCGAGCCAGTTGGGATTTTTAAGCCCATTATGTTTAGTAGATATATTTGTTTCTTTCAGTTCAAGTGGCATGCCTGTGAACTAGCTGGGTGTAGCTAAGCGCATTGACCACTATAAACAACAACATTTGAACTTTTTTTGAACATTATTGCAAAATTTTGTAAAGCAAACCAAACATTTCTCAAATTACCGGCTAAATTTTACAAGCTCTTTAAATGTTTGTAGTCATTTCGCGACTAGCGTGATACCTTTTCTGCCCAAAGTCGTATGTTAATGAGGAAAAAATGTAAACAATGATGTCAGTAAAGGTTCTCCTATAAGGCACACAGACTACGGTCGACGTAATGGTACTTGCATGTATATCACCAAGATGAGGGCTTTTTCTGTAGCCCTTCACCGAGCGAAAGTTCACCAAATTTTCCCCAAAGAACTACCAGTAGAAATTAGTATGGAAAAAATTTGTTTTGTTACTTAAAGACTTGCAACTGCTTTTTGGCCTCTATCCTTTAATCCGAGTCTGATATATAGCCTTTCGGTTAATGATTTATTACTAAGGTATAAATTTCAAATGACTATAGGATTTATTTTACACTATCAGTTAGTATACATTGTTTTGTTTTGTTTTGTTTTTTTGGTATTTGCTTTTTAGATCTGGGGTTGAAACTCTTCCTCACAATGCAAAAGCACATTATAACTATGCCAATTTTCTGAAAGACGTTGGAAGGGACGAGGAGGCTATACTTCACTATGAGACTGCTCTAAGGTGAGTTTCCCATTTGATCCATATCTGATTTCTCCGTACATTTCCATTACACATCTAATTATGAATATTTGATCCTAATAAAGTCATTGTCATCGTCAGAACGACAATCAGTTATTAGGGAGCTTAAACAAACCACGACGACGATGACGGCAACTGACGAGAACGCCACCAAACAAAAGGTTTAATGAACGAAACAATGGCTGTGCACGTGCGTTATAAATCTTTGTTCATTTCTTAACCGTCCTCTGCAAAACAACAACGTGAAATGACCGAACTCTGCGTAGATTGAAGAACGCGAACGACGACGACTATTTTTCGTATTTCCATCTGGAATTGAACGCTCTCATTGAATATTTAGCCTGACCACGTTTTTAGAGCCATTTCCGCACTGAACAGATCCAGACAATTGCGAATTTCACTGGTAAATTAATTCGTTTTCAGGCGTCGTCTTCGGCGTCGTCGTCGTCGTTGCTTAAGCTCCCTATTAAAAGCAGCTATGAGCCTTTAGTCATAGCCACGTTGATTAATCCAATGGATTGTGTGACTTAATGTAGCCTCGTAAACAGAGCAGCTAAGGTGGAACAGCATTTTGGGTAGTATATGCCTGTTTGGAGGGAAGGGCGGGGAGGGGGATGAAAGAGAGAACGACACTTGGAAAGTTCTATTAAATAACAATAACCGTGCCGTCTTTGTTTTCCTGTTTTCAGGTTGGCTCCAAATCACGTCAGTGCTCATAACAACCTTGGTACTCTTTTGGAAAACAATGAGGTACACACCCTTGTCTCCGGACTGCACACATATTTGTTGTCAACATAACTTTCNATAACTATGCCAATTTTCTGAAAGACGTTGGAAGGGACGAGGAGGCTATACTTCACTATGAGACTGCTCTGAGGTGAGTTTCCCATTTGATCCATATCTGATTTCTCCGTACATTGCCATTAAGCATCTAATTATGAATATTTGATTCTAATAAAATCATTGTCATCGTCAGAATGACAATCAGTTATTAGAGAGCTTAAACAAACCACGACGACGATGACGGCAACTGACGAGAACGCCACCAAACAGAAGGTTTAATGAACAAAACAGTGGTTGGGCACGTGCGTTATAAATCTTCGTACATTTCTTAGCCGTCCTCGGCAAAAAAAACAACGTGAAATGTGTAAGTTCTGCGTAGATTGAGGAAAGAGAACAATGACGGCTAATTTTTCGTAATTCCATTTGGAATTGAACGCTGTCATTGCGCATTTAGCCTGAGCACGTTTTTAGAGTCATTGGCGTACTATACAAATCTAGATCTAGACAATTGCGAATTTCGCTGGTAAAATAATTCATTTTTGACTAGGCGTCGTCCTCGGCGGCGCCGTCGTCTTTGCTTAAGCTCCTTATTAAAAGCGGCTATGAGCCTTTAGTCATAGCCACGTCAATCCAGAGGATTGTGTGACTTAATGTAGCTGTAAGATCGAAACGCCTCAAAATGGTGTTAATATGCGTTCGGTTAATTAGAGTGTATATTTCGTATTGTATCGTGCAACGTGTTGGAATGTGGCGGTTGTATCGTTACGTAATTTATTCAAATAGCCTGTGAGCAGCGCTTTTTTTTAGTTCTCGCAATGCGGATC